ATGGTGCTTAAATGCATATTTAAAGGAATACCTTCAGATATTCAGACTGCATCATTTTTAACAGCATTAAGAATGAGAGGATTAGATCATGAGCCTGATTTTATTGCAGCAGCTGTTAGGACAATTCTAGAGTTTTCAAATATCATACCATCTGAATTAGTGGATTCGAGAGGATACATAGATATAGTGGGTACCGGAGGGGACGGCCAGAATACGTTCAATGTGTCGACATCTTCGGCTATTGTGGCCGCAGGTATGGGATTACCCGTGTGTAAGCATGGAGGGAAAGCGTCGACATCAACATCTGGTTCTGGTGACTTGTTGAATTGCTTGGGTGTTGAATTAATGAAGGTTACCAGCGAAACGGTTCCCGATATTGTGAAGAAGACGAACTTTTGCTTCTTGTTTGCACCGGCATTTCATCCAGGAATGCAGCAAGTAGCCGCAATAAGAGGTCAATTAGGTGTTCCAACGATTTTCAATATTTTAGGACCATTAATTAATCCAATTCCGATCAGAGCAAGAATTTTAGGTGTTTACAGTGAAAAATTAGGTGAATCCTATGCACAAGCCGCCGCAAAATTAGCATCTGAAAGCGATGTACACAACAGAACGATGGTTGTATTTGGTGATATCGGTCTTGATGAGATTTCGCCAATTGGTGTTACCAAGTGTTGGTTGATCGACGAACATGGCAAGATTACCAGAAAGATCATTTCACCAAAGGATTTCAACTTGCCCGAAAATGAAATCACCAAAGTCAAATCTGGAACCTCCAAAGAAAATGCTGAGATATTGTTGCATATATTACGTCAAGACCACCCTGATTTCAAAATTAACTCGAATGACGTTCCAAATCACCCAATTGTTGACTACATTTTATTGAACAGTGCAGCATTAGCAGTAGTAGCCGGTCTCACTGACTCGTGGGTTGAAGGTGTTGACATTGCAAAGAAATCCATTCTCAGTGGTGCTGCCATGAGCTCCTTGGACAACTTTAAAGAAGCTATAAAAGATATGTGAGAGTCATTTATAACCAAATTATATTCTATAAAAGAAACTCAAAATTATTTATATGTGATTTATAGCATTATAGACAACATACACCATCTTTACATAGTAATTTTTCACTGAACAGAGAATTTCACACCCATTGAATCAGTTATTTCATGATTCCTCTATATTGATAATCATTCCCAATTAACGAAATTCTTCCAAGTGTCGACCACTCTATGAACAGATACACTAATACTACATTACCTCTACAATTAGTCAGTGGTTTCAGTAATGGTCCATGGTATACTGACCCATAGAAGCATATGAAGAGAGCGATCATGTGAGCAAATTTTGTGTCGCGCTTTTTCTTCAACTGTAAACAAACAAACCACATAGATAACAGTCTTTAGATTTAACCTTGATCTAGATCAAATATAACTAGAAAATAACCAGTTTGGTAATAATTATAATAGATCTGAGTAAATAAACTTGCAATATTCTTTGAACAAAAAAAAATTGGGTTTCAAGGTATAAATGAGTTTGTTTTCCGGAAAGAATTTGCTTGGAACTCCTCATCGAGTTTCCAACGGGTCTAACAAGAACAAGCTTGAATTCACGCCTATAGGCGTATCGAAAGGTAGAAATATTGGAAGTATAGGTGGGTATGATTTGTCACCGCCAAGGTCCAAATCAAGGTCTACATACACTGCAAGGCAGCCATTAAACGAACATAAAATAAATCAATCGTATAACGAGTCAAGCTTTGATAATACGCTAGATAACTTCAACACAACTATCAATTCATTCCTGAAACAGCCGATTTCGAGTAAGAATACGGCTGCTTCTATACCACCTAAATTGTATCCCGAGCGGAACCATATTTTGAATAATGGGATGAATTCAATCAAAGAACAACAAGTGGAAAACCACAAGCTTGAAACAGAGAATTATAATTTGAAGATTAAATTGGCCACACTAACACGATTTTTTGATCAGACTCCGGAAGAACAACGTGAATTGGTTACACAGAACATTGATTTGAAGCAGCAGCTCATGGAGTCAGCAAGAGAAATAAAGCAGTTGAAAGAAGCGATAACAGACTTGCAATATCTGTCTAATAAGGAGAATTCTGGCAATTCAGCTCAAAACATAGAAGAAATGAGATTAGAATACAAGCAACTCTTGAATGAAAGGGAAGCAAAATTATCCGAATATGAAAGACAAATTATGTCCATGCAAGAAGAGATGGTTTCTAATAATAACCACCGCGTATCAGACGACTTGTTAGATAAACTTGAACATTTGCAACTGGATAACCAATCATTAAGACGTCAAATTGACTCATTAAAAATCACCATTAACCAACTAGAACACGATAATGATGCCGTGGGCAACAACTTCGATGATATTCACGAACAATTGGAAAGCAAGGATGTCCAGATCCGAGATTTGCAGGCTGATTTATCGAATTGGAAGGAAAAATACGAGTTTTTGAATTCTGAATACAGAGGTTCTACAGATTCAAATAACGATAATCTTAAGCAATCAAAACAAGAAATAATGCACTTGAATTCAAAAATTAAAGATCTTGAATACAAATATATGAATGCCAAGAATATGCTAGAACAGAAAGATGAAGATTTAAATAAGATGATGGAGAGTATAAATGGTGATAAAAACATTGTCGATAAACTTGATAGGAGGATTGATTCGTTAACAAGACAATTGAAAGAAAAGGATAAGGAAGAGTACAATTTGCGAAGCCAGATTAAAGCTTTACTTGATCAGCGAACGTCTAATAAGGATAATGATTATCAATTTTACGAATCAGAAATCGAGTCTTTGAAACTCAAGGAGAAGCGAGTTTCAGAACAGAATAACAAATTAAGAATCGAGGTATCTGAATTGCAAGATCAGCTCTACCAAATTAATACCAATTCGAATAGTCACGACCAAAGACTAAAAAAGCTTCAGGAGCAGAAGCAGGAACTTCAAGATAGGCTTGCATATTATGAAAATGAATACGAAATACTAGAAAAAGCTTTTAATAATGCTGAGTTGGAGTCTGATTCGCTTAAAAGCCAACAATTAAAGGCAGACGAAAGGATTATAAACTTGGAAAATGAAAATCAATTGTTACTGAAACAGTTGAAGAGTAGCTCCGCAAAACTGAATAATTCAGCGTTACTTGAATTAGAAAATTTTAATAGAAAACAACTTGAAACTGAAAGAAAGCAATTGATCGAAGAAGTTGACTCTTTAAAGTTTGACTTGAAAAGAGTTACGAATGAATTGGAATTTGCTAAGCATAATAAACCTGTTGACATAAATAATCAATTTTTGGACTCTGAGTATCAGAAATTACTTATGGAAAAGAACAAATTACAGTTCACAGCTGACGATAATGAAATAAGGTTCAGAGAGTTAGATGCGAAGTGTAGAAAGCTTCAAACCATTATTGATGACAAAGAGTCCATAATTGAAAACTTAGAGGCTAAAGTTAGGGAGGTCGACCGTAATAATAAATTGAAATTTCTTGTTGAAGACGACGAAAAAACTGAGTTACTAAAAGCCAAGTCAAATAATGAATCAAAGATGAGACTTTTACAACTTGAGAACGAAAATTTACAGAAGGAATTTGAAACCCAAATTAATTTCTATAAGAATAAACTAGAGATTTTATTGCAACGTCAAGAAGAGGACATATATAATAACAATCACAACAAAAAAAATTACGAAAATCAATCTTCGTCTATTGTTTTGTTACTTGAAAAACAATTAGAAGATTCTCAAGCTCTACGGAATGAGATTTCCCAAAAGCTTAGTGATCAAATAGCTACAAATGACGACTTAAAATGGAAATATGAAAAGCTACAGAAAGACAACGAACAGCTTGTTGAACTTAGCAATGCATTTGACAAGAACGAAAAATTTGTTAAATTAGAAAACAGCCAGCTTGAAATGAGAATGAAAAAGCTTACACAAGAATTGAACAATACAACCAGACACTGCTCTAAGCTAGTAAACAAAGTGAAGGAATTTAAGCAACGTGAATTAATTAATGAGAAATATAAAACCGAAGACAACGACTGGAACAAATCTCGTTTAACAAGTAAATGTCATGATCTACAAGCACATAATTCATATTTGCAAAATAAATTAGACAATATTAATTCAAAACTTGCGTCGACTTATATTTCCTCCCCTTCAGATAATTCTAAAAAGATAAAACTTTTAGAGAATGAATTACATTACTATAGGGCGAAATTATATGATATAAATTTGAGATCTAATGATTTAGAAATCATGTATCAATTCGTTATGAATGCTATCAAGAACTCAAATAGGTTAATCAAGAATGATATCATAAAATTGACTCAATGTGGCATCTATCCAGATTATGCCTCGATGAATTTGCAAAGAATACAAAAGGGCGATAAATTATCCTTCAAAGTCTTATCGAAGTTCGTGTTAGCTATGGTAAGGATTAGGAGAAGATCAGAAAAAGCTGAAAAAAGGAAAATTAGACTATTCGAATTAAAGAATGAAATAGAAACAGACAAGATCACCTTACTTGAGTGACTTTCTTTGGAATTATTTATTTCTATTACTTGTATAAATATTTATGTTAATTTAGAAACAACACGAGAGGCTTCAAATAATATACAGTGGACATTTATATCTCGTGAATGCATATATTTAGATGCAGAAAGCCCGAATATGTATAGTAATATTATTAAACAACTATCTCATTATTCTTGTTACAGGAGTCTGAAAGATCTTGTCAGTGGATGGCTGTCTTGATCTTCCAATTCTAGGAGTTTGCATTACAGCATTCTGATGGTTCGAAGTATTTCCAGAATTAGTTCTTAAATTCATTGAAAATGTATTATTTCCTGGTGCCAACAAGTCAGATGTAGAATTGATCGAAATATCGCCTGCGTTATTTCCCATTATACTATCATTGACCATGTCTGGAGGTGAGAGTATATCCATTGTGTCATTAGGATTATAACCATTAGATAAAAACTCTGCAATATTATACTCCTCTGGCTCATCAACAGATTCATATGTATTATTAGTCAGTTTCGTGTACACAGATTTCAAAATCGTCCTATCTTTTAGTTTATGCAACGAACTTGATTCATCCATAAATTTATCAAATATTGCCAAATCACTCCAAGCTTTATCCTTCAAGAGATTCCTGTTCTTATATACTTTTGTACCAAATGTTGACGAGCTTATTGGTAAACCACTATCTTCTTCTTCTTCTAGTAAATATTGAGGAAACAAGTTTGTTGTAGCTTCTATCAACGATTGTGTATCAATATCATTGAATGGTATAGGGTCATCTTCCCATTTTTCCATATAAATAACTTGGTTTGGGTCATCTAGATGCACATATGAGAAAGTAGAATCTCTGGTAGTCATGGTGCCTAGAAATATTCTTTAATACAATTTTATCTTAAGATATGATTTTGTTTTTTATTTGTACGCATTCTACGACCCTTACGATACTTGCAAAGTAAACGAGATTTTTATTATATATACAATAGACCATTTAAAATACATTATTATAAACTTATGCAGTAGCCGAAACTTCACACATACCTTCGAACAAGGTAGGTTTCATTTCCAAAGCTTTCTTATCTACGTTAAAGGAGTTTACCAACTTAAACGCACCAGTACCAATATTCATGGTTTGTCCAAGAATAATACACTCTGAAACTCCCTCAATCTTATCGTTCTTCATATAGAATGACGCATCGAACAAGTGATCAGTAGTCTTTTCGAAAGATGCCAATTGTAATACGGAATCTCTCATTTTACTCAAACCGAATCTTGTAATACCCAATACTTCACCCTTGTATGTCATGACGTCACCTAATAATTGAATATGACGAGGATCAACACTCATACCATGCTTACTCATAGTATAATCAATTTCTCCAATAATAGAAGCTCTGGCAGCTTCGATACCCAACACTTGGAATACCTCAAGAATATGGTTCGTCGACGTTTTGGTACCTACCACACCATCGGTACTCATAACATCCTTCAAACCGTAACCTTCAACTAACAATTCTTTCTTACCATCATCCCTAATATTAATGACTGCACGGGAAATATCTGGTAAACCCTTAATACAAATTCTAGGTAAAGTTCTCTTCAAATGTTGCATTCTGAAAAATAATGAATTTGCGTTCGATGAATCAGTTGACTTATAATCAGCTGCGGCATTCTTCATTAAATTGATTGATTTAGGTTCTCTCAATGTCACCAAAACGTTAATTCTGTCTCTACCAGTAACTGAGACGTCACCAGCCAAAATCTTTAGCTTTGGTGCATTTGCAATCGAATGAGCAATACTTTCAATATTTAATTCCAACTGTAATTTTTCTATGGTATTCAAATCTATCTTAATAGATAAGTAAGCCATATTATTCTTATAAACATCTTCAATGAAAAAAGCAACGTCTTCTAATAAAGTCTTTTCGATTCTACCTTTCACAACACGGGCTGCTATTTCATCATCATCATTGACTAATACTGAATTGATAATTGGAGTCGAAATAATTTTCGATGCATTTATAATTTCTTTAATACGAGGCACACCTAAAGTAACATTCATCGATGCAACACCGGCAAAGTGGAAAGTCTTTAACGTCATTTGAGTACCAGGCTCACCAATGGATTGCGCACCAATAGCACCAACAGCAGTACCAGGTTCAACCTTAGCCCTTGAGTATTTGTAAATACATTGCTCCAAAAATTTGTTGATGGAATTTGCTGAAACTTTCAATAATTGATTAACAGCAATCAAACTTTCATTACTCTCATCTATCATAATGAAATCATCTGCAGGTTTAGTCAAAAATGGCCTTAACATCTTCTTTTCTCTAATCTCAGCCAATTTAGTAGCCTTATTAGTTGTAAATTCTCTGATAGACTTATAAAATTCTCTTTCAGCATCATTTTGATCTATATATTCAATTTTATCAGTATCTTCTAATGGGATTACTTTACCAACATTATCATACCTGATCAATCTATCTTCTAATGGATGCAATATAGAATCAACCAATTCAATAATTTGATATGGTAGTAAACCTTTATCTCCAACGCTAAAAGTAATGTTATATGCATGGTCCCATTGACGAACAAAATTGACCGGCCTAGCATCACCTTCCATATCAAAAGGATCTAAACCATCACCACCATAAGTAAATTGAACAATACCATTTGAAGAATTACGAACTGTATTATCATATTGTGCCGATAAATCATCCAAAGATTTCATCAACCTTCTTGACATATAACCAGTTTCTGCAGTCTTAACGGCTGTATCAACTAAACCTTCTCTACCAGAAATAGAGTGGAATAAAAATTCAGGAGGAGTCAAACCACTGAAGAAAGAATTTCTGACGAAACCCTTAGATTGAGGTGTTTTAGAATTCTTAGTGAAATGAGGTAAAGATCTATCCTGAAATCCATCAGGAACACGGTTACCAGAAATAATTTGCTGACCCACAACAGCCACCATTTGAGACACATTTAATGTCGAACCTTTAGAACCACAAGTTGCCATAATTAATGGGGCATTAGCAGAGTCCAATTCATTGATACAAATTTCCCCGACTTCTTCTCTAACCTTAGACAATAAACCACCAATCTTTGCCTCCAAAGTTTGTTCTTCATTACACCCGGGTTGAGTCTCTAATTTTCCTCTGTTATACAAGTCAATTAATTCGTCACACTTAAGATACGCTTGTTCAACCATTAATTCCTTCTTTTGCTTTAAATCAGCACCTGGAATGACATCATTAATACCAATTGAAAACCCTCTGTTACCTAAATACCTGGCACAAAGCTTAGCCATACGATTCATTGCATTAGCAGCTTCATCTGGCCCATAATCTCTCAATATGGTATAGAACACAGAATGCTTTTTACCATCACCTAAAGTTGACTTATCCATCACACCACTCAAGATTTGCGAGCCTCTTATAATAACAAAACCATCATTTGGTGACATTTCGTTAGGGAAACCTTTAGCAGGGGGTGTATAGGTTTTGTTCTTTGCATCCAAGTTAATAACAACATTAGACTTCTTATTAGGCTTAATTAACAAGGAAAAAACTTGCTTACCGGTCCATAACATGACTGGTTTGAAGATAGCGGGCGGTGGAATGTCAAATTGAATATCTGCATCAGACATCATACATAAAAGTTGAACTAAGGAAGCTCTATCAAAAAAGGAATCTTTGTGAGAGACCAAATAGGAACCTGTAATAAAATCTTGTGTTGCGGCAATGATAGGTTCTCCAGATTTTGGAGTCAATAAATTATTTTTAACACCCATCAAATTAATTGCTTCAGCTCTGGCCTCTTCAGTTTGAGGAACGTGAATATTCATTTCATCACCATCGAAATCAGCGTTATATGGAGTACATACACATTCATTAAGACGGAATGTTCTCCATGGTCTGATTTTTGCGTAATGCGACAAAATGGACAATCTATGTAAAGAAGGTTGTCTATTGAATAAGACAATATCACCATCTTCGATATGTCTTTCCACAACATCACCTATATGCAAGTTTTTCGCTAATTTGACACGATCACCAAATCTCAAGTTTCTCTTTGCTAGTTCGTTCTGCTTTAAAACATAATTAGCACCAGGATGAACATTTGGCCCATTCAAAATTAATTTTTGCAATTTCTTACGATTATAACGAGTACACTTCTCAGGGTATGTCAAAACCTTTGCCACTCTATCAGGGACAGCCACCTCATCAATCTTTAAATTTGGATCCGGTGAAATAACTGTTCTACCGGAGAAATCAACTCTCTTACCTGATAAATTACCTCTGAAACGACCTTGCTTACCTTTCAATCTTTGACAGAACCCTCTAATTGGCTTGGATGATTTTGAACCACCTCCTGAAGAAGGTAATAATGCAGGGTTGGCCGAATCAGAATTAATATACATAGCTACTGACAATTGTAAATAATCCCATTGCTCCATTAAATTGTTGATTGAAATACCTTTCTCAATACCAGCTTTAATTAATGAAGAAGTCCAAACTATTTCCGTCAACTTGATTGTTAAATCATCTTCATTCGACTGGGCATCCATCATTACCGAAGGTCTAATACATACGGGTGGTGCTGGCAAATATCTCCAGATGTACATTTCCGGTCTACCTCCTCTTGCAGAATCAATACCAAGTAACTCACAATCGGATGGTGATATCTGTTTAAATAAGTTCAATACTTTTAAGGGGTTTAAATCATCATGGATTCTTTTAACAAATTTTTCCAATTCAGGATTTCTCAGGAAAACTTCATCAAATTCCTTGTCCCAAAGTTCTTTTTCAGGAGTCGCTTTCTTACCTATCCATCTAAACGTATCATGTACGATCTTCAAGGCGGCTGGACCTGCTCCACTAGCAGCTTTCTTAACCACACCATTCACATGATTACAGTTAAAACATCTTCTTTGTTTCTTACACTGCTCTAATAGCTTCTTCAATATTTTCATTCTTCTCAAATTATCGATATGTGGTCTTCTCAAGTCGTTCAAAAAGCTCCTCTTAGTCTGCTCGTCTAATAAAACAGCCGAACAGTTCTTACAGATACATTGTAACACTTGAATTGTGGCCTTGAAGTACCCAACATGAAACACCGGCAATGCTAATTTAATGTGTCCAAAATGCCCATGGCACGACGCCAAGTTCCCATGACATGTAGAACACTCGTTAGCATTAGAAGAAATACCCATCTTGGTATCCAAAGCCCCCCCTTCCTTCGGTATTCTACCTTTTTCTAAATCATATAAATCTCGAGTGTGAACCTCGACTTCGGACTGTGCAACGATATCTTTAGCAGATAGAGCTCCGAATTCAATGCCTTTGATGCACTTAGGAGCGACATCAACTACAACCTCCTTCATTGCACTCTTTTCCTTACCAATTTATTAGATGACAAAGCTATGATTCACTATATCCTTCATCTAGTACAGCTTTTTTTAAAAAAAATCATCATCTGAAGCACGTGACTGATCTATCTTGGTCGTGCAAAAAAATCGAATTTAAGTTGAAGCCTATGGATTAATGGTGGCAATAAGAGCAGTTATTTAAGCAATAATACCAGAAAATGTCGAAAGCAGAAGTGAAGAACACCAATTTACCAACTACCGATGAAGACGAACAAAAAGTCATCAAAACTTTAGAAGAAGATGATGAATTTGAAGACTTTCCAGAAGACACCAAGTGGTCCAATGAACCAAACCCACAGATCAATCCAACGAATTTATGGCAGGAAGATTGGGATGATGACGACAACCAAGATGAGTTCTCGCAAAGGTTAAGAGAAGAATTGAAGAAGGCACAGAAGCCAACAGCTTAAAGGATTTGTATCAATAAACGAAAGAAGAGTGTCGAAATTGGAGAGATACGTATCTACACGAATTGCAATTCAATTCCTTGTGTATATTAGAAATATATATAATTAATGATGATTATTTTACATTGAATGCCCAATCTGAAACGTAGAAACCTAAGCGTAGAAATTCACAGATTTTGATTTTCTGGCTTGGACCTCACCTATGGCTTCGACGAAGTCTTCATGCTTTATGATTGATTTTCCATTTCTCAAGGCAATCATACCTGCTTCCACAGTGACAGCCTTCAATTGAGCACCGTTGAATTCATCTGTAGATCTGGCCAATTCTCTCCAGTTGACAGAAGAGTTGTCACAGTTTAATTTTCTGGCGTGAATCTTCAACACGGACTCTCTGGCTTCTTCTGATGGCAATGGGAATTCTATTTTTCTATCCAATCTACCAGATCTTAACAATGCAGGATCTAATGTATCGACTCTGTTAGTAGCGGCCAAGACCTTAACTCTATCGTCAGAACCAAAACCATCTAATTGATTTAAAAGTTCCAACATAGTTCTTTGTACTTCTCTGTCACCACTCTTATCCGAGTCGAATCTTTTGGTACCAATTGCATCCAATTCATCAATGAATATAATTGTTGGTGCTTTTTCCTTAGCCAAGGCGAATGCATCACGAACCAATTTGGCACCATCCCCAATGAACATTTGAACCAATTGAGGAGCAGCTAATTTCAAGAAGGTTGCTCCAGATTGCGCTGCACAGGCTCTTGCTAATAATGTTTTACCAGTACCTGGTGGCCCGTACATCAAGGCACCCTTTGGTGGTTTAATTCCCAAATTTTTAAATTTATCGGCCTGTTTCATAGGTAACACCACAGCTTCAATCAATTCTTCAATTTGTTTGTCCAACCCACCAATGTCGGAATAATCTTCAGTTGGCTTTTCATCAACTTCCATAGCCTTCACTCTCGAATCATATTCGGAGGGTAATGTGTCTAAAATCAAGTATGAGTCCTTATTCACCCCAATAAGATCGTTTGGCTTCAAATTGGCCGGATCAACCAACCCAATTAATGGCAAGAAAATCGTTTGTCTGGTTGATGTCTTAATTACAGCTGATTTTCCTGATCTCGTGGCATCCAAATCCACATTGGCGCCTTGTTCACTGGCCTCTTTCTCGGCATTCAAATCTAGCAACTCGACAACATTCCCGACCAAATATGGTAATTGCTTATTATTATTGATTTTCTCCTGGTTGTCCTTAATTCTTTCCAACATAACTGTCTTTTCATGTGTCAACCTTTGTGACTCTGATCTCATCACCTTGATATCATTATCTAATAACTTTGTTCTGTTCGTAATATCTGATGTTGAAGATTGCAAAATTTCTTGATCTATACTGTCATCTTGCTGGTTTTCTAATTCTTCTAATGTAGACATTTTAAATGCTTATTTCGATTTTTATGTATTAAGGTCTAGACTTTTAACAACAATGAATTTGATACAAAATGAATAATACAATTCTAATCAATCAACACTGTATTTCTCTTAAATAGGTATATTCACGATGCTTCACTGCTACGGTTTCTTTCCAACTGTAGCTCTTGCCACTCAACTTTTGGTAAAATCTCAATATGGCGATTTTGTGTAACTTATATATCAAAGCTGCTTTAGCATCCAATAGATTAGAAAATGCTCCAAATGGGCTTATTATACGCTCAAGATAGATACATATGATACATAACGACCACAAGGAACTATCGGACGAAGAATTCAATAGTTTAAGAGAGTCATGCTTGAATGGTAAGTTTTATTTTGCAATTGAGTGACTTGTGGGAGGAAGAGATATACTAACGCTAGCAGCTCGAAGCTCAGCATATTGTCCATATTCGAAATTCCGGTACGTATAGGTATTTTTTTTGGTAGTTGAGTCATTGTATATATCTACGGGTACTACGATTTATGTGAAATTGACGAAAATGACATGCTAACGTTGTAGGGTTGGGTGTGTTGTAGAGACAAGCACAGGTAAAAGGTTTACGGGAGCTAATGTTGAAAATGCATCTTATGGAGCAGGTATTTGTGCAGAAAGAGCAACCATTACAAAGGCAGTGGTATGTATGGTACTAGAATTGAGAGAAGCACTCGAAAACACAGATGGAACATACTAACAATTTCACAGACAGAAGGCCACAAAAAGCTAAAATTGGTAGCCATAAGTGGCGATTCTGAAGAACCAATCAGTCCCTGTGGTATATGTAGACAGTTTATCAGAGAATTTGGACCCAACGTACCTGTATTTATGTTTAATAAGGATGGATCCAAATTTATCAAAGTATTCTTGCAGGATTTGTTACCATTGAGCTTTGGACCAGAAAACTTGGGGATTGAACCAGCTCACTAGTAGAATCATTCAGCCCCAATTAGACTCGAAGAATTAGTTGGCACTATTGCCTTTTCATAGTAGTAAATAGTTAATATAGATAAATCGTGTGAAGCATTTTCGCACGACTTGTATCGGGTCATCTTGAAAAATTTGGCTTTATGGTTCCATAAAAATATTGTTTGTAATACAATAACTATAGAGATGTCTGCTATTTGTGCTGCTTCAAACTGTGGGAAGGAAACTACTTCTTCCTTGAAATGTCCGGTCTGTTTAAAAGAAGGTATAACTAACGTTTTTTGTAATCAAATTTGTTTCCGTAGTAACTGGGGAAGTCATAAAGCTATTCATAAGAATGAAGACGGTTCGAATGAATCTTATAATCCATTCCCAAGCTTTAACTACACTGGTGAATTGAGACCAAGTTATCCATTAACTCCAAGAAGAGCCATTCCAAAGCATATTAAGGTACCCGACTATGCTCAGAATGGAAGGCCGATTAGTGAAATCAAGAACGATAGAGTTGGTAAGATAACTATATTAAGTGCAAAAGAAATTGAAAAGATTAGAAAAGTAGGTAAATTGTCTAGAGAAATTTTAGATATTACTGCCAGTCATATTAAACCAGGTATCACAACTGATGAATTGGACGCAATCTTGCATAAGGAATGTATCAAGAGAAACGCCTACCCATCTCCTTTGAACTACTATAATTTCCCCAAATCCATTTGTACATCCGTCAATGAAGTAATCTGTCACGGTATTCCAGATCAACGTAAATTAGAGGATGGTGATATAATTAATTTAGATGTGACTATTTACTACTTGGGATTCCATTCCGACCTTAATGAAACCTACTATGTAGGCGATAAGGCTAAATGCAATCCTGAGATTGTCAACTTAGTTGAAACAACTAGAGAATGTTTAGACTTAGCAATTCAAGCAGTTAAGCCAGGCTTAATTTTTAGAGAGTTAGGTAACATCATTGAAGAGCATGCCACAAAGAATAATTGTTCTGTGGTAAGAACATACTGCGGTCATGGTACTAATCAATTATTCCATTGTCAACCAAACATCCCTCATTATGCTAAGAATAAAGCTGTGGGTGTAGCCAAGCCAGGTATGGTTTTTACCATCGAACCAATGTTGTGCCAAGGAACTTATAGAGATATGAGTTGGCCTGACAACTGGACTGCTGTGACTCAAGATGGTAAATTTTCTGCTCAATTCGAACAAATGATGCTAGTCACTGAAGATGGAGTTGAAGTTTTAACTGCTAGAAATGAAAAATCTCCTGGTGGCGCTATTCCTAGAATTTAGATAGGTATTAATAATTGTGTATATTATAATCATCATATTCTATTGCCTCATTACCTTTGATTGTCATATCGCATATCATAGTTTGAACTTTATTTATTGATTGTTCTAATGTATGAAGCTTCTTATCCATTATAGACCCTGATTTGTAATTGTACTCAACACTGAAAATACCTCTATTGATATTAACGTTCGGAAATTTAGCAAAGAGCTCTCTTAAATACTTGTTCAAGTACTTCATAAACTTCAAATTCTCCAATGATTTGGGATTCACAGTTTTCAGTCTCTCATCGACAATATGTGTTATAGAATACCTCATTATTTCACCCGTCAAGTCAAATAAGCCCATCAAATAGTCTCCAGGCAAAATGAAATCAACCTCAAACTCAACACTATCATACGGAGCTTCTAATTCTTCTGTTATAGTGTTTTCTACCGAATCAAACAAGAGCTCACATAATGCATGATTTAATAGCTTTGTATTGAACAGATTTAACTTATAATTGTAACTTAGTATGAGGCACCGTACAACATATAAAAACCTATCATAAGGTAAAATATCTCCATTCATAATGTAATATGCAAATGTAAAGGCTTCAATCATTTCCTCTATCGAGTTCGATATGGTGGACTTTAATTGAATGAAGTTCTCATTATAGAGAAATTTGTTATAAAGAATAGACAATTTTTCACTAATGATCTTAGCATTGGAAAATAACTGCCCGTATAATTCTTGCGTTATATTTCCTTGAACTCGATGGAGAGTGAAAATCAACTTTTTCGAATGTGAGTTGATATCCCGGCATAACCTGATAACCAATTCTCTTTCGTCATGAAACCTCAACAAGTACTCTCGAGCAGGCTGAAATACTTCAGTTTTATAAATACCATCTGTCATATTCAAAAATTAATACTTGGAAGGAAGAAATGGAGAATACAAATGCACAATTTGAAATATGTCAATTGATAAGAAGAGCTCTGTTTCAATGAAAGGAAAAAAAAATGGTCCCTAGCAGGATCGAACTGCTGATCTTGGCGTTATTAGCACCACGCCTTAACCAACTGGGCCAAGGGACCGCTTTTTGCGATTTTCACAAACCTCAGTTTTAGTTCAAAATTATAGCCTAATCATATCCCCTTACCTGAACACCACAATCAATTTATTTGACATCCTAATCACAACACATAGAACTATTGAATACATATAGACCCATATATGATTGTTACTACATTCTAATTAGTCTAATTAAAGCTAATTTTACTGCAAAATGATTGATTTGTATCCGGGTAACAACTAAGATTTTTCACTAAATGTATCGCGTTCAGAAAATGGCAAATACAAAGAGAATCAACTGAAAAGTATACTTGAAGATACATTGAATAAACAAGGATGTCATCGTCGATTCAAGTACTTAACCCAAAGGCGGAGTCTTTAAGACGTTCTCAAGCATTGCAGGTAAACATTGCGGCTGCACAAGGGTTACAACAAGTTTTAGCTTCCAATTTAGGACCTAAAGGAACATTAAAATTATTAGTTGATGGATCAGGTAACCTTAAGCTTACTAAGGATGGTAAGGTTTTATTGACTGAAATGCAAATTCAGCACCCAACTGCTGTGATGATTGCTAGAGCAGCCACTGCACAAGATGAAATTTGTGGTGATGGTACCACCACCGTGATTTTGTTAGTAGGGGAATTATTAAAAGAAGCTGAGAGATTTATCAGTGAAGGGGTACACCCAAGAGTGTTAGTTGATGGATTTGAGATTGCAAGAGAAGAAACCTTAAAATATCTTGATGGCTTTAAAACAACCCCAGAGAAGTTTGACAGGGAATTTTTATTGCAGGTGGCCAGATCATCATTGTCAACCAAGGTTAATAGCGAATTAACCGATGTTTTGACTCCTATTGTGACCGATGGGGTATTATCAGTATACGAAGAAGGCCAAAGAAACTTGGATTTACATATGATTGAAATTATGACTATGCAACATGGTAGTGCCAAAGAAACAGAATTGATCAAGGGATTGGTATTAGATCACGGTGCCAGACATCCAGACATGCCAAGAAGAATTGAAAATGCCTATGTGTTGATTTTGAATGTATCATTAGAATACGAAAAGACAGAAGTCAACTCTGGATTTTTCTACTCTAGTGCCGAACAAAGAGAAAAGTTAGTGGCCTCTGAAAGAAAATTCGTTGATGAAAAGTTGAAAAAAATCATCGATTTGAAAAATGAAGTATGCGAATTAAACTCCAACAAGGGATTCGTCATCATAAACCAGAAGGGTATTGACCCAATGTCCTTAGACATATTAGCCAAGAATGGCATTTTAGCTTTAAGAAGAGCAAAGAGACGTAATATGGAAAGATTGCAATTGGTTTGTGGCGGAGAAGCACAAAACTCCGTCGACGATTTATCTCCAGCGATTTTGGGATTTTCCGGTTTAGTATACGAAAACAGTATTGGAGAAGACAAATTCACATACATTACTGAAAATAAAGAACCTAAATCCGGTACTATATTAATTAAGGGTGCTAACAATCATGTCTTACAACAAATTAAGGATGCTGTAAGAGACGGTTTGAGATCAGTTTCCAACGTCTTGAAAGATCAATCGATTATACCTGGCGGGGGTGCGTTCTTTATGAGCTGCAACAATCACTTATTAAATACTAAAAATGAATTTTTAAGGGGAAAGAACAAGTCTGGTATAAAGGCATTTAGCGAGGCCTTATTGGTTATTCCAAAAACGTTATCTAAAAATGCCGGGTTAGACTCATTGGAAACCTTATCTAACTGCCAAGACGAAATTGATGACAGAATCGTCGGTATCGACTTGAAGTCTGGCGAGCCAATGGATCCAACTATCGAGGGTGTATGGGACTCGTACAGAGTGATGAGAAACGCTATTTCTGCTGCCACTGGTATTGCTTCTAATTTATTATTATGTGATGAATTATTGAAGGCTGGTCGTTCCTCCTTGAAAGAAGGAGCGGGTGGCCCCGCTGGCCCTGGTGGGCCTCCAATGGGAGCACCTCCTATGATGTAGTTTTTCGCCTTATAATATAGAAATAATATTCATATACAGTAATATATATCCACCGAACACTTGGTAACCATAGTACCCAACGCTTTTCTATTATGCAGTGCAGCATATTCTTTTATGAAGTATTCCATGCTTCGAGTTCTTTACTTCCTACTTGACAAAAATTCGCTTTATCGTGTAACATGTGCCTATGCCAGAAGATCTTGCATATTCGGCAATCTGTGATTTTATAGGAAAATATGATTTGTTTATATTTTATGGCCTTCCATATGCAAGTTTAGGGTAACGTATACGTAAAGCTATTGTGGCGGTTCTATTTAAGCCTCACTAACAATAGGTATGAATAGCGAAAATTACCTCTCAAGCTTCTATACAAAACGTTTACAAACTCTATTGTTGAGAAGAAATAATATTTGTTAACAAGATTGGAGGCTGATAGCCTGAACCGAAATTGAGCGTTGTCGGCTTTCAAAGAACCCCAACCCCAGTTTATAATATAAAAAGATATCCTGAGATTTTGAAAATTATCACACCGTGACATGGATATGAATATTAAAGTGCTAGAATTTATTGGCTATTAAAGACGTAGTATTTCCCAGTTTATTATCGAAGTAAAAGAGATAAGAGAAGTGACTGACAGAGATAACAATAGAGAAAGCATAAAAGAAATAGGGAGCACATATTTGGGACATAATGGATCCGTGGTACACTGAGGAAGGGGCAGATAGCGAGTCTAATAGAGAGCCAGATGTGAACGTGCCTCCTAATGTGCCCATATATCAACAGTTCATGCCTTCTGGAGATGCTAATATGGTACAGCCCATACCGTTGGGAATTTCTTCGGCAGATGCTATACAGTCGACAGCACTACAGTCGATGCCTATACAAGGGCCTTTGCTGATTCCTTCACATATTGATCAGCTGGGAGAGGGAAATTCAGCACCTTATTCCGCTCCGCTACACAACGAAACTGAAGTTCAACCACAGAAATACCACCACATCATTACAGGCCTGTCACAGATACCAAGTACGTATATTCGCCAGGAAACATTTGCCCATTTGGCTATTGCAAATAATCCGCAAGCCATAGAATCGAATATGATGGTACCAAACCTTGACACCAACCCACATGCCCCGCAACAGCCTAAACACGGAACTAATGTTTCCTCAGCACTTGCAAAAAAGACTTCTCGACGGTCTTCACGATCATCTGAAAGTCACCATGGTTCTCCAACAGACGAGTCCTCTGAAACACACATTACGAAAACCATCGCCAAACGATCAAGAATGGGCTGTCTTACTTGCAGACAAAGGAAAAAGAGATGTTGTGAGAAAAGACCCCAATGTACTGAGTGTTTACGATTGGGCTTAGATTGCATTTGGCCTGTGCCGGGAACTGAACATAGAAATAAATCTAGAGAATCTCGAGACGATAAGAACACTATTGAACATGAAGCTTATGGCAAGATAAAAGTCCTCAGGGGTATAGTTGAATACAAAAGTAAATAGAATAGATTAGCATAGTCATCACTTCAGTATCAGCCTTAACATTCTTGAATAAGTATTTATCCGCTGATTCTTATCAGGCATTCCTTGCATTTTTTTCTTCAGAATATGAATTTTACAAATCACAGAATAGAAAGTTTTAGTGATCTACACTTGACTACGATGAAATAATAGACTTCTTATGAAGTTTAGCAGCCATTCTTGTAGACTCTTTTCGTTTAAACAACTCCGTAATACTATGTAAGTTAAGCGAAATTACATACTACCTAAAACGGAAGTCTATTCCAAGTTACACAAAACGGTCATTGGATAAACACGTAAATACAATTGAGATAAACTAAGAGACTAGCATAGATAAAATTGATATACTTAGTTAATCTAAAGACAATATGTCATTGATGGATGATTTAAGCATAAGGGACAGACAGATCTGTAAGTTTTGTTTTTCGAAATCTGCATTGATAGGTATTTATGACAGAATTACTAACTAGTGTAGCTACATTGGAACGAATGTTCCATTTGAATAAAGACGGATCTCCAGATTTGACCTTGGCGTCGAAAAGTGAAGAGATGATCTGGAAGGTACTAGTATTGGATGCAAAGTCACAGGCAATTATTTCTTCTGTATTAAGAGTGAATGATTTATTGAGGTGTGGAATTACTGTTCATTCCTTAATTAATTCAAAGAGATCGCCATTACCTGACGTTTCAGTCATATATTTTATTGAGCCAACAATAGAGAATATATTAGTGATCATAGATGATTTATCGGCGGATAAATATGACAATTTTTATATTAATTTCACATCCAGTATAAATAGAGAATTATTGGAAGAGTTTGCCAAAAAGGTATCTATTTCAGGTAAATCTTACAAGATCAAACAGGTATTCGATCAGTATTTGGACTTCATAGTAACTGAGCCAAATTTATTTTCGTTGGACTTGCCAGAAGTTTTCACAAAATTTAACAATCCAAGTACAAACGAAGATGACATACATAAATTGGCAGAAAACATTGCAAATGGCTTATTAGCATCAATAATCACCTTGGATAGTATTCCAATCATAAGATGTCAAAGGAATGGGCCCGCAGAATTAGTAGCAACTCAATTGGATTCAAAATTGAGAGATTACTTGAGCAATTCAAGAAATTTAATGAGCCAGTCAATTCAACAAAGGCCTGTATTAATTATATTAGATCGTAACATTGATTTATCTTCTATGTTTTCACATTCATGGATATATCAATGCATGGTGAGTGACGTTTTTCATTTGAAAAGAAATACAATAAAATTAACAAAGTTCAATGATGATTCATCTTCCGTTACTAAAAATTATGATATTGATCCAAAGGACTTTTTCTGGGGTAAAAATTCACAATTACCTTTCCCAGATGTAGTTGAGAATGCTGATGTTGAATTAAATTTATACAAAAAGGATGCACAAGAATTAACAAATAGAACCGGTATAACTTCGTTAAGTGATATCAACAACCAAGCTGGTTCTGATACTGCACATATCCAGCAAGCAGTTGACGCTTTGCCAGAATTAACTGCTCGAAAGGCCACTTTGGATATGCATATGGATGTTTTAGCTACATTATTGAAGGAATTGGAGGCAAAGAGTTTAGACAAATTTTTCGAAATTGAACAGAACTATAATAACCCAAAGATTCAAAGTCAATTTTTAGAAATTTTAAAAGACAAATCAAAAAGAGACAACTCCACTGACAAATTGAGATCATTCTTAATATTAGTTTTATTGTTAGATTTGCCTGCAAACTTTATCAATCAATGCAAAGAAATTTTACACAATGAATATCCAGACCTTGATTTGGATTCATTTAAATACATCCAAAAATTTAAACAGGTTATGAAGTTATCGAATATGTCAAGTTTGAATGACCAGTCTTCCGGTAATTCGAGTTTTGATGCTAATGCATCTAAAAATAATACAGCCTTATTCAATGGTTTATCATCTAAATTATATGGATTAACTGAAGGAAGAATTACTGAAGGTTTGAGTTCTTTGGCAACAGGTTTAAAGAAACTTTTGCCTGATAAGCAACAATTGCCAATTACAAACGCAGTGGAAGCTATTATGGATCCGGCCAATGCTTCGAATAATTCAATTCAACTAACTGATGATTACTTGTATTTGGATTCAAAGTTGCGAGGTGGTCATTCAAAACCCCCAAAGAGACAATCATATCTTGAAGCGCAAGTCTTTGTAGTTGGGGGTGGTAATTATTTAGAATATCAAAATCTTCAAGAATGGTCAAACTCACCAAATAAGCCTACCAAAAGAGTTACTTACGGCAGTACAGATATAATAACTGCGAATGAATTTTTGAAAGAGTGCTCTAACTTGGGTAAACTTGAGAATTAATATACTTTCATTTTAAATCTAGATAATATATAAAATACATAAATTGATAACTTGTAAGTCAGGAAATCTAAAGGTAACCTTTAGTTTCTTCCAATATTTTTATTGAACGACGAGAATCTAAAAATAAAATCTCACATTCTTCAATATCATCACTGGTAATTTCACTACGACCAGCAGTTTTAGACAATACACCCGCAGGTGCTAATAACTGTAATGCATAACGTAACGAATTATTAATACCATGCAATGATAATTTGTCCAAGGCATCAGGGGTAACATTTAAGTTTTCTAAAACTGCTCTCTTGCTGATAATAGTTTTAATTTCTTCTTGGTTGTATGGTAATGTTCTGACTATTAACAAACGATCAATCAAATCTGCTGGACATCCGTGAGGAGACTTTTTATCATCGTCAGTACCTCTAATTGTAGTCATACCACGATTTGATGCCAAAACAACTATTGGAGCGATAGAACTTTCTAATGCTCTGTTTAAATAAGTGAAACATTCAATATCTAACATATTAACTTCATCAATGAATAAAACACCTGGAATCAATTCCGCAACACCTTGATCAATATATTTAGAAACAACCTTATTTACTTCTGATCTTAATTTATCTGTTATTTCAGTCTTTCTTGGCTTTAACAATTGTCCCATCATCGATAAGACATCTTGACCACCTTGAGGTCTTGCATTAGCGACATCTAAATCATGTAAGGATACATCTTGAACAATTTCTTTCTTTTTATGAACCTCACCCTTTGGCAATGGAACGTATTCTTCAGCTTCTAAATCGAATTCAGTAGCATAAGCATCTGATCTCCCAACTCTTTTGACTGAACCGGTATTTGCTTCAATATAAATTACATCACCTACAGAAACTCTTTCTTTTTGAATACTTTCATAGATACTTGGATCTAATCTCAAACTCTTAGTACCTTTTGCGGTCTTCAAACCAACTATAACATGACTGATTGTTTTTCCGTAACCACCTAACGGATTCTCTGCTTCTTCAGGAGTTAATTCAATCACCTCACCTTCGTAAACTTCCTTGGTCTCTTTAATTCTCAATCCAATAGCTCTTCTGAAATTTTCCATTAATGCTGCTGTCTTCTTGATTTCAGCCGAAAATAATTCAGATCCGACAATTGGACAGAAGGGCACTTTTGGCCCTAATTCCTGTGAAATTGCAAGTGCTAAGGCAGTTTTACCAGTTCCTGGAGCACCGGCCAATAAAATCGCCTTACCAGACATTCTCTTAGATTTAATCAAGTCGACAATAATCCCACACGCTTCTCTTGCATCTGATTGACCAACAAATCCACCTTCAACTTTCTTAGCTATCCCATGCTCATCTAATCCAAGCCCTTTAATATGGGTATGAGCAGCGGTTCTACTTTCTCTAGTTTGAGTATCTTTTACTTCATTAATCTGAACCATCTTATAGCTTTATTAGATTATCTGATAATACTTGTAATATTCAATATAGATTTCGTTGTTGTTCCTATATAATCGATTTTAGTGGAAATTTTGAATGAAAAATGAATATACTTATATGCACACCAACATATTTTTCATTTTGCAATGATAACATATATAGTAGACGAACCTTTTGTTAGACATTCGAATTGAAGGAAGTTATCAATGATGATGAAGCAGCTTTTAGATTAAATATTTAATGACGAAAAGAATTTTATTATTTAAATTCGTAGATGATTTAATAAACTTTTACTGTATAATTATAAAGTGACTACTTAAAAGCTACTTTTTCAAGTCTCTGTGATGACCTTATAGGTGAAGAATACTCTTCGAATGCTATTGTAATTTAAAGGATTTGAAATTGATATAGAATGGGCTTTATATTGATGATAAAACATTTATACAGTTAATATACACTATTCAAAGTCGACTTCCTCTTCGATTTCATCTACAGGTTCTTTTGGTTCTTGACTCTCTGACCACTGGGTAACATCGTCTATGTAGCTTAAAATAGTTGCAACAGAATCACTATCTTTGTTACAATCTAATGGTAAGAATTGAACCATACCAAAGTCATCAACTAGATTAGCAATAGCTTTGTTCAATTTCGCAAACTTAGGGTTTGACTCGTTGTCCAGACTAGCATTAAGCAACAACGGATCAGGATTTAAGAACTTTTTTAATTCCTTCTTAGAAACTTCGTTTTTTATCAAGTCAACTTTGGACAATATGTTGATATGTGGCAACTCAAGTAAAATCATAGCTGACATAGCACTTAACGCTCCTGAAAAGAATTTTGATCTATCTATGACAAATGGAGCTTCTAGTAAATATGTAGCACATAAATTAAAATTAAGCTGTGATTGCAAATGTCTCACTATAGTTGGCAATACAGGTATATGTGTATATAACTCGATCTGTCCAGGACAATCAAATATCAAGTATTCATCGTTATAGTCACCGATTTCTTCATCCAACCAATCTAAATTATTCAACAAAAATTCAAAGCAATAGATCAAAGCCCCATTTGGACCTAGCTCCATCTCTTCCATCACATCTTGTAGAGAAATCAAATCTCTTATATCGATGGTAAATTCATATTCTGATGGTTCAGCTGCTGGATCCAAATTAACAATATGTGCTCTACGTCCTATGGATTGCATATGTGTAATGATAGAATTACAGAAAGTGGATTTACCCACACCTGCAGGTCCCAATGCTAATACTCCAACTCTTGACATATTTATTTGCCTGCTTCTATTTGAGATGCCTATTAAGTAATGTGCTTAGTTATCTAAAAGTGTTGATGCAGCATTCAAGATGAGCTATCGTGTGCGAACCAAACAATACACTAGTAGTGGGTATATATTATATGAATAAATAAGTCTAATATTTATATAGTCATGATGGCACTATCGGAGCGACACCAGCAAGTGTCAAAGTCATTTTCCATTTGGATCATAACATCAATGCCTTCAGCTTGGAAAATCTTTTCGCATTGTTGCTTTATATATAAAGAATTTTCACCTCTATAAATCTGAATATGAATATATCCAAAGATATCAGAATTGTCGTTTGAAGGCCAAAACCTCGGAGTAGTAAAAGATTTGATGCCTTTTATTTGTACGATATCATTAAGCACAGACCTTATTTTCATTTCTTTATCTGATTTCAATTTAAGTAGGAGCGACAGCGCAGTTGATTTGATCAATGGAATAGCTGACATGAAAATTAAGACGGCAATGATTATTGAAGCAATTGGGTCAAATCCATCCCAGTTAAAGAACTTCGTTAATATCGTGGAGATAACAACTCCTACAGACCCCAATGTGTCTGCCAAGATATGAAGGAAAATACCCTTCATGTTATCATTCATAGCAGCCTTTTCTGACAGGTCTCCACTATCAGAATGATCATGACTGTGCTCATGACTGTGACTATGTTCATGGCTGTGACTGTGACCGTGTGAGTGGCCATGACTATGATCATGGCCATGATTAAATGCAAATATGCCTACCAAATTTACGAGAAGCCCTAAGAATGAAACAATAATCAATTCGTTAGTCTTTTGTAGAACAACTGGATTCCATAATCTCCCAACGGCCTCAAAAATGATACTACCAGATATTCCAATCAATAAAGTTCCGTTTGTAAAACCGGCCAAGATTTCGAAATTTTTCAATCCAAACGGAAATTTTCCATTTGGATTTATAGCATTTTTCAGTAATATGCCCGCTATTAAACCTAATGCTAATGATGTACAATCGAGCGCCATATGCAAGGAATCGGATAATAACCCGAGTGACTTGGATCTGAAAGAATAAAGCAATTGAATAAACATGAATGCAGAATTAAGTAAGAGGAAATTAAAAATCGCTCTAGTATCTGAATGACTTAATAACTCAGATATGATTGATCCATTACTTTTTGTGTCCGGAACAGTATTTAATCCACCATACTGAGCTGCATTTATATCGATAGATCTATCTGCCTTAATAATCAATGGTGCCACAACGCCCAAAAGCAACTGGGTTATACTGAAACTAGTGGAGAGCACGATATACTCGAGACTGAAGGACACCAATCCGATGATTAATGGATTTAAACGTGATCCTTTCAAATCACAATCCTGCAACGAAATCAAAAACACAAGGGACGCACAAACATTGACACCCATCATCATGGGGGAGATGCTTTCGAATCCAGCAGCCACCAACACAATCGCACCAGCTACGACCGCACCTCCAGCTACTCGCACATCGATGTTAGCTAAGACAGCCGTAAGTGACGATAATATCGCTTTTTTATACAATACTCTGAATGAAATGACCACCACGATATATCCCACCACAGTGTTCATCACATTGTCCGTATCCGAGGTTCTATACATATCCCACACGAACATTAGTACCGTATACAAATTAAACGGATTGACATACAACCCTAGAAATAGCACTGAAAGGCGACTCACAGAAAGCAAGTGCGTTGCAAGATACACCATGGAAATTGCACCCACAAGCATCCCAGTAGACATCGCATCACGTCCCCTAGCCTCTGAACTTAAGGAAATAACGTTGCCACGTATAAGCATTTGTGTGACCAACAAAAAACCCCCTGCTAGAACCACCAGCATCGACACCACGCCCACACTGGTCCAAACACTATACGGTACTCGTCCATACGACAAACCTGCCGACAAAACCATGCATGGGAATGCCACAAGTACCGGCAATGTCCCTATAATAGCACTTAATATACTTTTCTTTCCATTTCTCTCACTCACTCGTTCATTCGCTGGCTCCATCTTCACAAATGGGTTTCTGATTGCCTCGCTCTTCACCTCGACTCCAGCTCCAAATGGCTCACCGAACCCCTGATTCAACTCAAACCCTCCTCCATGATCATAAATCGACTGCGATCCATATCCCCGCGAACGTGAATGGGTCTTTTGATGTGACATGAGAGATTAGCGTCGTTGATAAATGCTTATCCTCTGGTAACCACTACTTAGGCCAATCTGTTGATATTTCGAACCTGCGTCTATTTCTTGCGAGCGATTACGTAATCATTTGAATTTTTGACCGACGACAATAAGAGTGACATCATATGATTTATATAGTGGAACTATCAACAATATATAAGATAATAGGTCGGCAAAGTCATACATGGGAGAATATAGTTGTTCATTGAATTGAGGGGATATTATATTAGTAAGTTACTGTTTTAGAAGTTTGTTGGATTGAATATCTATCGAGCTACATAATAAGACGGGTGGTACCCATATGATACATAGCGCATTGGAATAATAAGAAGAAGGATAAAAACACGCTGTATAGGATATGGCAGAATTATATTTCTTACGACACGGTCAGAGAATAGATCATGTCAGCAGTAAGGAGGAAAATGGGATTGAAGCGATATATAAGGATTACAAGGAGTACGATCCATCGTTGGCGACTAGCGCCATCGGGCAGGTCGAGACGGTAGGGAGGGAGATTTTGGAGCACACACAAGTATTCGATGACAATGAGAGTGGGAGTGTCAGAAAGAACGTGTTTATCCATTTTTCACCGTACTTGAGGTGTTGTCAGACTGCCGATTTGTTGGTGAGTAATCTCAAGGCGAGATTTGAAGAGAAATACCCTAAATACAAGGTGAGGTTTCAGCTTTTGGGGGATTTTGCGTTGTCTGAGTGGGTACATGATAAAATGAAGAACAAGCCACCGTTTGTTGATTCGAACGATGCGTACCATATGTATACACCAAACATCAAGTTGTTGAAGAATCGGTCATGTGTGTCAAACTTCCGTCCGACTAATACTTTGGGTCCATACAATGGGCCTGATCTAAGCTATAAGGACTACCAGGCGAACTGTAAGGAGTACTTCCAGAAGTTGCTAGCTACATATAATAGACCGGTACATCTTAAGAACCAAGATATAATCATTGTCATATCTCATGGATATGCCATAAATAATTTCCTATCTTATTTCATAAACCATCCTATTTTCGATGAAATACCAGAAGCATCATTAAACTTTGCAAGAAGAGTTCTTGAGAATGAGGATTATGAAATCGAAGACCCACTTGACCTAGAACAATATAAATGGAAATTGTTTAAAGATTCCTTGGGTTTATTGGAAAAGGAAGATATCGATAGTACTCTCAACTTGGAGACAGATATAGTGTACTACAAGACTAATTTTTTCAAGAAGGATGATTTTGATGAATCGAACAATTTGAAACTTCCAAATGCTCCTACACAAGAACAGCCCCGGGCATCCTTCAGAATGTCTACTGCTAGGTCCACGAAGGATCCAAATAGACCCGAAGTGATAACGAATTATAATCCTATTTGCCCAGCAGCAAAGGATTGGTCTCCACAGATGTCTAAACAATTCGATGTTAAAACAAATTTCAAGTTAAAGGCAATAAACGATGAGGCATTCAAGAAGACATTCAACATTAGCAATCATCCATCGAAACCTATTTCGCCTGAAGTATCACCAAATTCAGAACCAACGAGAAATAATTCTGTTATTGATTTAACTAAATTGATTGATAATGAAGAAGCCAATAGACCCATGAAGTTGAAATATTCGACTACTTCTGAAATTCCTATTCATCGCTTGAACTCGAAAATCAATTCGCAAGTCAATTTAGCTCAATATCAAAGAGACAACGCCTCTTCAAACGATAATTCGACAACTGATTTGCCAAAGTTTCTTTCTTCTCTACAGAACAAACCAAGAAAGAGATCGACTTCGAATCCAATCTTGGCAACGGTGGCACATAATGCAAAGGATTCGTATTTCCCACTGAATATTGTTGGCAAGGTCGGTAATAGACAAAGTAATGACCTGTTGGCATCAATAGATTCAGGATCTCCAGTTGATGATTATGGCTCGGGAAGCGATCTTGATATAATAGAAGAACACAACGTAAGACCAATTCAAGGCCCTCAGCAACCAGAAAATCCATTGTTGAGTAGATCACAATCTTTGAATTACAAACGTAACATAAGTGATAAAGGAACTACATCGTTATTGGCTAAATATAAACAACACCAGCTTAATAACGAAAGTGACGATAGTGATTCTCATCAAAAAGCATTTGCATTACCTTACAACTTGGGTAGAAACAATCAATACCAGAAAACTACTACTACACCTCCACCACGGAGAACTCCATCGTCTCCCGTATCAAATACCAGTCCTAGAGTTAGAAATTCAATAAAGTTTATACCATCTGTATTTAACGGTGATGGAACGAATGGTGCTGTCGGCGGTACTTCTACTCCAACAGGATTTAGCGTGCCGAATACTAATGCCACATCTAAGAAACCCATGTTCTATCATTTTAACTCTGATGATGGATCTAACAGTGACTCTGGAGATTCTTCGTCTGATATTGATGACTACAATGGTGATGGTGATGAAGATGATAAAATGGATGTGGATAAAGACAAACAAAAACCAAAAAAGAAGAAAGAGCAGTATATTTGGTTTGGTCAAAATAGGAGATAGGTGAGTTGCTACTGTGATATATGCATATTCTTATTTATTTATTCATTAATTTAAAGCCTTGATATATATATATATATAAATAGTTATAAAGATTTAAATCACTAACTAAGTAAAGTGAAAAGCGCGCTATAACGTTTATCAGATTTCAATTGATAATCATCCTAAAACAGTATCTAATTGCATAGCTAAGGGGATAACTATGACACAGATAGATTCTCAAATCATAAAGGACTCGTTATCGTCGTCCACTAATACAGCTACATTTGGATTGTCAAAAGATTTAACAATTCCTATATCTGTAAAGATTTGTTATCTCCAGCCATCAGATATATCACAAGTTTATAATGATTTATCCCCATCATCAGAGAAATATTCTAACCCACTGGTATTTCAGAAGTTGTCCAATATATATATAAATTCAGACCTATTCGTGACAATTCAGGTGTTTGGTGGTACTAATAATCCAATTACAATACCCATACAAACACCATATCAGGCATTTACTAATAATAAAAGAGAGTGGAATAAGGCATTGAAGCTCCCGATAAACTACAACCAATTGACGATAGATTCGTACTTAAGAATTGTTGTATATGAAATCAGTAATACTAAACCTATAATATTTGGGATAGGAAATGTATCACTTTTTAATAAGAATGATTCTACACTTAGGAGAGGCTCACAGAAAGTTCCTATATGGAGAAAGTTTGACTTTTCAAAGGAGATAGAAATTGAATATGGATATATACCAGGAATCACAGAATTAGAGCAGAAATTAGTAGATTATGAAAATGGAGAATTTCCCAAGATACCATGGCTCGATAAGCTAGTTATGTCAGATATCGAAAAGCAGAGAAACATTAAATTAAATGACAAAAAAGCATATTCTAATGAAGATAATGAAGTTAACAGAGATCTATTCTACCTTTATATTGAATTTCCACATTTTGAACTACCCGTCGTTTATTCTGACATAACATATCAATTGCCAATTCCAGCATCCTCCGAGGATCGAAATAATACCCAAACTTTAAGCTTAAATGACACTACCAATACTAGCGTAATCATCAATTCTATTGATATACCAATGTCTAAGGAAACTAATATGAATTTATTGAAAGTATATGATCCTGATTATGAGATACCGAACCTAAACAGTATTAGTGCTAATGGAAACACAGCACAGACTAACACTGCAAGTAACACTCTTGATCCGATTGAAATGAAATATCATAAGCTAGAAAGAAATATTAATAATAATTCTTTGTTAGATAAAGAATTAAAACCATCTCCTCAATTAAGAGATGAATTGATGAGAATACTCAGAAAGCCCTCAAATATTGAATTATCAGATGTTGAGAAGAATCTAATATGGAAGTTCCGTTATTACTTTTCCAAGAATAATTCAACTACCACTGCTACAGTAGAAGATAATGCGAACCATAACCTTTCTTCGACTAAACTTACAAGAAGCGGGAAGCTTTTCTTACCTAAATTTTTAAAATCAATTAATTGGGATAATGATTTTGAATTGGATCATGCTTTTAATGAAATTATTCCGAATTATTGGACGGTAGACAAAATTCAAATAGGAGATGCGTTAGAATTACTAGGCAATTATTTCAATCCTCATACGTTGACATCAAGGATAGCGAGTACTTCGCAAGAGAGCTCATCAAATGATCAAGCAAATATCGAAGAGCGTCGTTACCAAAAGATATTTAAATATGTAATATTCCTAAGAAAGTTTGCGGTTGATAGATTGAAATTAGCTAACGGTGAAGAAATATTGTTGTATCTTTTGCAATTGGTGCAAGCCTTGAAGTATGAATCTATCATATTTGACAAGAGAATTAATTCAGAAGACTCGGAAACAGAAAATTTTACTTTGATAGAGAATAATTCTTCAGACTCATTATTATCATCACCTCTTGCAACATTTTTGATAGAAAAATCTGTTGAAAATGAAAACTTAGGTAATTTTTTTTATTGGTATGTTAAAGTAGAGAATGAAGACCAGATTAATGTTCCTAGTCCTCATCCTACCCGTATTTATTCATTAATATTGAATAAGTACATCGAAAATTTAAAAAAATATTCTGAAGCTAATAAGCTGCCTAATTATAATCATTTGAAAAGACAAATTTGGTTTATAAAAAAATTAACCAATTTGGTCGAATTATTAAGAACTACTTTTAAAAAGAACGAATCTACAGTTAAAAAGGTTCAATTTTTGAGAGAATATTTGGCTAATCCTTCAAACGATCTATATAAATTTCCTGAACCGTTTCCACTTCCTCTAGATCCGTCAATAATAATATGTGGTTGTTATCCTGAGGAATCATCAGTATTCAAGAGTTCCTTAGCTCCCTTGAAGGTAACTTTCAAGACAATTACAAATTATCGAGAGTTGCACCAGTCACAATCATCACAATTATTTGGGAAGAAGCATTATAAATATGGCAAATATTCGTTAATGTTTAAAATAGGGGATGATTTAAGACAAGATCAACTTGTTATACAAATAATAAATTTAATGGACCAATTACTAAAGAATGAAAACTTGGATTTAAGATTAACCCCATACAGAATCTTGGCTACAAGTCCAATTGCTGGATTAATCCAATTTGTTCCCAATGAAACTCTAGATGCCGTTCTAGCTAGAACATACCCAGCTTCAATTTCTGGAGATATAGATCTGGTCGATCAACAATCCGGAGCTCATGGTGCTTCTAATAATTCCAACGCCAATAATGGGATATTAAATTATTTAAAGTTACATAGTCATGATGTTCAAGCAGCAGAACCTCAAATGCTGAGTGTATTGTCAGGAGCAAGTGAAAATTCTATACCCCAACCTCAACAGCAACATGCTATTACGTCGAATCTTGGTGTGTCATCAATTGTGATGGATAATTACGTAAAATCTTGTGCTGGGTATTGTGTGATTACATACCTACTTGGTGTTGGTGATCGTCATTTGGATAACTTGTTGTTATCACCAAATGGAAAATTCTGGCATGCTGATTTTGGTTACATACTTGGCCGAGATCCAAAGCCTTTTCCACCTCTAATGAAGTTGCCTATTCAAGTCATTGATGGAATGGGTGGTTTGCACCATGAAAATTTCAATATTTTTAAAAATTATTGCTTTATTACTTATACAACATTAAGAAAAAATAGTAATTTAATTTTGAATTTATTCCAGTTAATGTTGGATGCAAATATACCAGACATTCAAATTGATCCAAACAGAGCAGTTGAAAAAGTACAGGAAAAGTTTTGCTTAGAAATGAGCGAAGAGGAAGCCATTCTACACTTTCAGAATTTAATTAATGATAGTGTTAATGCATTTTTACCTGTTGTTATCGATAGATTACATAGTTTAGCCCAATATTGGAGAGCATAATCTAATACACACAAAATTCCTCAAGTTAGACTTTCTCATCATATTTAGTCATTCTTAATCAGTGGCTTTGTTCCTTTGTATTTATCTCTGATAGTTCGGAGTGTGAAGGTATATAATGCCGATAACAAGCCAAAAGGTGGAAATAAATCAAGTAAAGTCAAAATCAAATTTGGACGTATTTCTTTAACAACTGATGCGACACATTTCTGTAAGTCATCTAAACTACTGCTATTATCAATAACTAGATCTGATCTGTAATTTCTCTCTTCGTTCGTCATTTGGCTCTCAATTCGTTTCCTAATGTCTTCCTCACTCAATTCAGAATTTCTTGCTGCTATTCTTTTTACCTGCAATTCCTTATCACATGTAACAGTTACAGTGGTTCCACATATTTTGTTCAAACCTGCTTCAAATAATAACGGAACATCCAAAATAACAAGACTCTGAAATCTCAAATATGCTTGCAATATCTGCCATAAGATTTCTTTTCTAACTGCTGGATGAACAATAGAATTCAATCTTTTTAGTTTCTCTTTATTACCAAACACGGCATTTCCCAAGACTGCCCTATTCAACGAGCCATCCTTTGGGTTAACAAGATCTGGAATATCATCTGCAAAGGCTTCCAAGATTCTATTATAAGCTTTTCGACCAGGATTTACAACATCTCTTGCAATTAAATCTGCATCGACAATTGTTAAATTATGTGTTTCACGCAATGTACGAGATACAGTTGACTTTCCAGCACCAATTCCACCCGTGAGACCAACGATAAGCATCCTTTATAACGAACGAAGTATCTTATCTTTTATCTTTATGATCGTTTTTATGGAGATCGCTTTTGAGACACAAAATAGCACAAATAACTTTTCAAGAGTTTTTTTTGCAAATTATCAAGCATAAAATATAGACATTTATTCATAATATAAGTATTGAAATAAGGATGGCAAGCAATCCAAAAGTATATGTTTTGGGTGCTGGATCTATGGGATCTTTGGTTGCACATGAAATGGCTTCCAAATATCCAAATGCATTGCAGATGATCCTACTCTTCAAGACACAGGGAAGACTAAATAATTTTGTGAACAACAACTCTGAACTAGTGGTGGTGAAACCTAGAGGGCCGAATATATTTACTTCTACATCACAACTTGCTGCTGGACGATTTCCACCAAGATTGAAAGATGGAAAACCAGCACCAATCAACAATTTAATAATTTCGACAAAAACGTACCAAACCAAAGCAGCATTAGAACCATACATACCAAATTTAAGTTCAAGTTCTAACATATTAATACTTCAGAATGGGATGGGAATGGCTCAACATTTAACCGATACATTTTGGCCTAATGAATCTAATAGACCTAATATATTGCAAGCAATCAGTACCCACGGAGCTTACAAGACAGCACCAAATGTTATCCACCATGTTGGTCAAGGAAAGCTCACCATAGCCCAAATTCCAAGGAAATTAGACATTCAAAAACCGGAATTGGCGGAAAACGAATTACCTGAATTTATTAAATTATTACTACAAACTGAAGAATTAAATGCAAGTTATCTGCCATATAAAGCATTCCTTTTGGTACAAATGGAAAAATTAATAGTAAATGCTTGTATAAATCCTTTGACAGCAATACTTGATTGCTTTAATGGTGATTTGCTTTATGGTACAAAAATAGTTCCGATTATGAAGCGAGTCATAAATGAAGCAGTTCAAGTGTTCAAGGCTGAATACAAACTCTTAAAGAATATTCCGGAAGCAAACAGCTTTTTGAATGATGATAGGTTATTAAATACTGTGTTCGAAATTTGTAAGACAACATCACAAAATAGTTCATCAATGAGAGAAGATATCAGAAGCTTGAACAATACAGAAATTGACTGGATCAATGGCTATATAGTTGGATTGGGTTACCAACACAAGATTCCGACACCAACTAATAAAATGATAAGTTCCATGGTCAAAAATAAATTAAGCATTGACAGATCATTGGAATCAACTGCAACTAATCGAGCATTAAAAGCGTAAATTTGAATTACATATGTACATATTTCTGTAAATAGGTTCTCGTCTATAAATCTAGCATAGTTTTTTGGGCAATAGTTTTTTTATTATTATATAGAATCCCAATACTTTTCTTTCTGTTCTGCGTGATTTGACAGTTGTCATCATTATATTCCAACATACGCTTACTATCACAGTCATGAATAACTCTTTCTAATATTTTTTTAAGCAATATTTTCGAATTTCGCTCATAAACACTGCCATCATTGTACCCATTAACCAATGCCTGTAATTTCCTGGATTCTTCGGGGATCAGCTCTTGCAAAACAGCTAATGCAACCTCTGTTCTGAATGACATTCCTGCTTCCTCACTTATAGTATAATCACCATAATAACTATAA